GAAAGTGGGTGCACTCTCATCGAAGTGACGGAGGACGGGGTCTGATGTCAAAGCACGCTTAAGGGCTTGGAAAGCACACTCGCACTCGTCAGTCCACGTGACGCGGAATCTCTTCCTTTTGCGCTGATTGTTTTTGCATCAGATGACAGCGCAGTGGTACCCAGATTACATTTTATAAGCGGGCGCAGCGTGAACAGGCGCTTTTTGGTATTTTAAACTCCCAGAGCCACTGCATGCTATGCTAGCGAGGCACGCCTTGGCAGTTCGAAACAAGTTATGGCGTTTCTGGCAGTGAGGGTATACCACCAAAGGCGCCTGCGTGCGAGATAGGCGGGCTCTGGTGTATACTCCAATGGCGGCTAAAATGATACCTCCGAGCCAGAGAGTCGGCAAGTCGGTAGTTTGGTCAAAATGAAAACACTCGAGTTGAAATTAGCTGCAGCTAAAAGTTTGATGCAGCCCGCGATATTCCCCAACGCAGTCAAATCTGCTAGGAAATGTAGAAGTGGCACGATCTCGTGGCAGCTGTGTAAAAAAATCATCTATGCGTGGCAACGGATATACATCTTTTTTTGTGATCTTATTGAGCGCTCTGTAATCAACACAAAAGCGGACAGAGCCATCCTTTTTCCGGACCAACATCACGGGAGACGACCAGGAGCTGGATGAAGGTCGAATAATATCCCGTTTGAGCATGTCAGCGACGTTTTCCGCAATGATTTGTTGTTCCGCCGAAGACAGACGGTATGGGCGGCGGCGTGCAATGGAGCTGCCTTCGGCTTCGATGCTGTGCTCTGCAACGGAGGTGCTGCCCAGAACTTTGCAATGTTCATCAAACGAAAGGCTGTGCTTTTTGAGAAGGTCTAAGAGGTCTCTCTTTTGCTCGGCAGTGAGGTGAGGACTTATGGTGTCATTTAAGGTAACAGTGGTAGCCTTGATATCGGTAGTAGCAGACAAAGGCGGTGATTCTGCGTGAAGGGGAACCAGCGAAAAGGGCTCACTGTCAGCGAAGCAGCTCACAGCAGTGCCCTGGGGCAGCATCACTGGCGAAGAAGTTGGGTTCAAGGCGGTTACCAATGCTTTACCGTCGTAAAACCGGACAAGGCTGGGTGCTATGGTAAGCCCCGCAGGTTTGGAGCGAACTGATGGAGCTGTGAACACGTCACTGTTAACTATAGTATCCGAAGCGATCGTTAGAATTTGTTCATCTCCTGGCGAAATGAAACAATCAGTGGCAGTAACGAAACGGAAGCTGTATGGATCGACATCGGATGAACACTCAGTAGCTGACATTTGAATGACTCGCTGACGACTCGATATGAAAGCTGATGCCGAAGAAAGGAAGTCCCATTCTAAAATTACTGTGTGAGTGCACAAAGGAAGTACAAGAAACTGAATTTGGTGAAGGATGCCATCTATGAAAACGCGGACTGTGCAAACACTTGAAGGCCGAGTAGGGACTCCATCTGCGCAACGAAGGGGAGGACCATCGTAGGGCGTCCTAACTTTTTTCAAGCGGGCACAAAAGTCTGCACGAATTATAGAAAGTGATGCGCCTGTGTCTACCAGTGCCTCTGTCTGTATACCTTCAACATACACCAATAAAACATTCGATGTGCGGTCCGGAGGAGTTTGACACAGTTCGGAAGATGCAGCTTTCCCTCCCGAAGCTGCACTGTTTAGTTTTCCAGTTGGTGGTCGGGAATTGAAGTAGAAGGTCGGAGAGGAGAAGAGGAACACCGCATCGGTGAAGGTGAGCGACGACGTGAGAACCGGGAACTTCCAACTGAGACAAAGTTCTGCGGAGACGGCGACCGACGTGTGCTGTTCAGATACAGCCGGCGATAGGGTGGTCCAGTGGCGTTGAAGTCGTCCCGTTCAAGGTTATCGTAGCTTCGTCGTTTGTCTTGCTGACGGCGTTGGCAAAACCTTGAAATGTGACCACGGATGCCGCAATAGAAGCAAGTCGGCCGCGAACTGCGCCAGGCGTTGTAAGGCTGGGAAGATGGTCGTGGTGCGAGTGAGTTGAGTAAACCATGCACTTCGGGCGCTGGTAGCTGCATTGGGCTTTGCTGGGGTGCAGGTGTTCTAGCAGCAACCTGAGCATACGTTGGCATGGCCACAGGATAGGAGCTCGGGACAGGTGTGCAGTTATCGAGGCCAGGCTTTGGTGGGGCGTAGGTGTCGTTGCAGCAACATGAGCATAACTTGGAATGGGCATGGGATGTGAACTCGAAACTGGTGTACCAGTCATCAAGGCCAGTTCCTCCCTCGCGACGTTGCGTAAACTAGTAGCGGGTGGCGTTGTTCGGATATCGAGGTGGCGAGGTGAAGCCTGTGCATGAAGTTCCTCGCGGATGATAGAGCGGATCAATGCACGCAGCTCTGTTGTATTATGACTTGAGCTCAGATCAGACATATCGGGTTGTACCCGAGTGGTCTGAAGCTCCTCAAGGCGCTGACAGGTAATGACAACATCGGATACAATCTGGGAATTCTGCACCACAAGCGCATTGAAAGCGACAGTCGCAATGCCTTTTAGCAGGTGGCGCACACGGTCGTTTTCTGCCATATATGTCGATGCGGCGGCAAAGGGCGAGAACATCTTCGATGTAAGAAGTGTAAGACTCACCAGGGTGTTGAAGACATGCACCAAGCCTCTTCTTGGTGATATTCGAGCGCACTGACGGGTTGGCAAAAATCTGGCGAAGCTGACGTGTAAAGGCGGGCCATGTCGGAAAATCTGTAGCGTTGTTGAAAAACCACGGTTTCGCGACGCCGCTCAAGTAGAATGCAACGTGGGTGAGTTTCGCATGCTCATCCTAGTTGTTGATGGCACTCACGAGGTCATACTCCTCGAGCCAGTCTTCAACGTCCTCACCCTGAAGCCCTGCGAACAGCGGATGATCTTTTTGAGGGCTGGTGACCAGGTGAGAAGCGTTTCTTGGCGGTGGGAGCGATAGCGAAGCTGGCTCGCTGGGCTGGTCGGCTTGCGACATTACCGAACCCAGGTCGTTTAAGTGGGGGCATGAACAAAGCTCCAGGGATGTGTTCTAGAAGACGCTGGGGTGTCCGAGAGAGCGAGAGGACGCAGGAACCAGGCAGCACTCTCTACCACTTGTAAGATGGCGTCCAGTACTCTCAAGACTATCCTTTATTGTCTCGAGTATGTGTCCCACAACCTAAACAGGAGTGGTGATGATGAGTATGTAAAGATGTAAAGATTGGACGCATAAATAATGCTCACAATATTAACAGGTGTAACACCTTGCAAAAAAAAAAAGGACAAAGTAAGAACCAGTAAGACAAAAAGGAACCATGTAATGTATTCAAATTGAAGAGAAACGAGTGACATTTTGTGTAAATGTTGAGTGGCACATTATGGTGGCGAGATCAGTGGAAAGGCCATTCTAGTCAGAAGCTGCACGAAAAAAGAAGGAGGCAGAAAATGTCGTGGTACAGGCACATGGCCTGCCGACATGAAAGGAATTAGTGGTGCGGTGAGATGTGCGGGCAGGAGGCAAGATATAGGGCGGGTGAACGAGTTGACTGTGATAGAGCTTGTGGAACAAAATGAGGCTGGCAACTCGGCGAGTTGCCAGCCTCATTCTGCCACAAATACTAGTATTTTAAATTGTGGCTCATTTTGCAGCACATTTTTGACATCCTTCAATTGTTTGATGCGTGACATTTACATTGATTGCTGTATGTTGAATATATTTTATAAGAAATATTTGTATTTATGAGATGCTTTGACAATGCTCTGTACTCCAATTAATGTATGGCAAATTTAATATTTCCTCCCATGACACTGATAGCTGCTTTAAACTAGCATATTTTTCTGCTCCTAAAACACTTATGGCTGCTCCAAAAAGTAAAAAGGCAGTTCCATCATGATCACTGCATTATGCAAACTTCTGGCATTTTCAATGCAGGCAAAAATGCTTGAGGCTTCTGTACTTGGATATAGGTGCATGTTGAAACCCGGGTTGTCAAATTTCCAGAGCCCTCAGCTACTGCATCCCTAATGATCATATCATGGTTTTGTGATGTTAAACCCCACCAATTATTAACATGCAAATTCTTGCATTCAGTTAGAGAAACACCAGAAAAAGCATGCAAAGACACCAGAATTAGTTTATGGTGCATGATGAGGTAAGCCTGGTTACAGAAGGAAGCTGATTGAGCAGGGCATGTACTAAGAAAGTGGAGGCTACTTGATCTGGTGATTATACTATTTCATAAGTTCGAATTATGCAAGAATAATAAAAAAAAAATAAACCTCTGTTACTTTACTAAGCATACTTTGGGTATGCCATGTGTAGACAATGCAGCTCCTGATCCTAGGCTACTAAGATGTGAAAATAAAACAAGCACATGAGGTGGTGCCACTACCCTGCCCATAAATTTTTTTTTTTCAACATACCTTTGACATTTCAGTAATGCAGCCTATTGCATATTCTGTATTGAAGCCCATAAGTGTGCAACGAACAAAATGTAAAATATAACGGTGTCCACATCGCCAGCTCTCATAGCTCGAGAGTTGCTTTGGGAGTTTAAGCATCATGGTTGATTGATTGATATGTGGGGTTTAACGTCTCAAAACCACCATATGATTATGAGAGAGAGACGCCGTAGTGAAGGGCTTCAGAAATTTTGACCACTTGGGGTTCTTTAATGTGCACTGTCACGAGTGCCATTCTGTAGATGTACATATCGTTCTACATATTTTTGCACAAAGGCTTCGCAATAACCTCCAGGCTAATATGTTACTGCTGCTATTCCAAGAAAGCTTGATTAGTGAAATGCTGGTACTACACTTAGGTCTCGTTCATTCCTTACAGCCCTCATTGCTCAGTATGGTAAAAAGGTGTAACGTGCTTTCTTCTCCTCGCTTTGCATACTCAAGAGTTTTAGAATGTTCTTTGATAATGCAATGGAACAGGGTGCGAAATTTGTGAAGAGTGCATATGTTCTTTAATGCTCTTTATTCTCCTTTGATTACACACCCAGCCGGTTGCTTCTCACAGTTCCTGAATTTCTTCGGGGAGAAAGTATTTCTTTTATGGAAGTTTGCACTGTTGAAAAAAGGATTTTTTTTTTCTCCTCCACCAATTGGTGTGATTTGCTATCGTGGTAAGTGAAGAGTAAAATGTGCTCGTCTTGTAGTAGTAATCTGTACTCCTGGTCTCTCCTTTCTAGTATACTGCACTAGTATTTTGGTTGCTCATGTATACTCAGACTTGTAGACGTGTTTGTGTCCACCAAATTTTCGTCAATGTCACAAATGTGGATGCCCTCACCGAGCAGCTTTTCTATGTGGCCTGTATACTTTTCCTATTGCACTTTTTTTTTTTTTGGAAGCATGTTGTAGAAGAACATATATACACAATCAACTTCATTTCAGGCACTACTGAGAAAATATTTGACACAAAGCAAAACCTATTTGACCTGTTTGTTGACCAGCAAAACTTGAAAGTTCATTATTCCTTGCATGAAAGGCTGCTGGAATTGAGTGCTGCTGATAAGCTGAAGTACAACCACCTTTTAGAGCTAAGGTAAGTCAACAAGCATTTACATTTATTGATGTACTCTACTCCATGTTCTAATGTCTGTCTTTTCTTCTTCAGATCCAAATGCCAGCCGTTACTAGCAGGGAATTCAGATGCTACAGACGAGTCCTGGTTTACTGGGTATGTTTTTCACACTTACAAAAATGGCCCTAACAACAATATACGAACAAATAAGACAACTGTACAATGGTATATGAACAAATAAGATTATCTTACTAGGTTCACGGCACTTTTCAATTAGGCATTCTCAAGTCGCAACAACAAGAATTCTGGTACTATTGTTTACCTTAGGTTAGGTCGAAGCCTTGCCACCAACCTGCCGCAGCTAGATAACTTAGAAATACGGGTGATTTGAATCGCAGTGCAACTATGCAGGATTAAGTCTCCCTTGCCTTAGTGCATAATGTGCCCTAAAGCCATTGTCGTTACCAATACTTGACACATATTTTCTTGAAGAGATTAATCTGGATTGCTAAATGTCAAGCTATTCCATTTCCTCCATTATTAGCCACATTTTCCAGGCTCCACCTACACTTTGCCTATCTGTAAGGTATCATTGTAAAACCACAAATTCTCACAACGAAGTGGCGTGAATGCAATAAACATGCATTTCAGTACTAAAATAATTAAGCCAGGCCTGCACGAAACACGCAGCACACAGCAAAAGCTGGAAGAGTGTCCTTTTTAGAGCCATTTGTGAGATCTCTTGGGTCAATTACTAGAAGGACACTTGCATGGCATTTACTATGCCAGACATCATAATTTTTGCCAAGTAGGGAAACATCCATGGAATCATTATCCTGCAGAGAAGCAGTATACCCCACAACACATCTTCAAACATTGGAGTTAAACCTGGATATCGTGAAATTGATAAATTCTCGGGAAAATTTGTGATAAGAAAGATTTTGTTATATTCAGGTTTGGCATAAAAATTTGGAAAATAAGAGCAGAATTTGAACAAATGGGAGACTATCCAAAAACTTTTAATGAGCAGCAAAAACTTTGTTATTATTGTGATAGCAATTCTATGGGCATTTGGCGGGTTTTCGCCGTCGTCGCCATGTTTCGTAGGAAGCCTAAATTGATAACATCCCCCTGCGCATCGTAACTTTCACGAGCAGGTAAAATCACAAAAGCGCTGCTGAAGCAGAAATCAAATGAGCTCTGCCACAGTGGTTTAGTGGCTAAGGTACTAGGATGCTGACTCGCAGGTCGTGGGATCAAATCCCGGCTGCGGCGGCTGCATTTTTGATGGAGGTGAAAATGCTGTGGGGCCATTGACTCCGATTTGGGTGCACATTAAAGAACCCCAGGTGGTCGAAATTTCCGGAGATGTCCACTATGGCATCTCTCATAATCATATGGTGGTTTTGGGATATTAAACCCCGCATATCAATCAATCAGAAATCAAATGAGTCGTCACATCTCCATTGCCTGGAAGGCGCACAACATTCCCCGTACGTTAGAACTGCCGTCAACGCTCAAACGGAAAGGAAACTACCCGTCTGGAATGAGCATGAAAAAACGTGAGGGGGAGGGGGGCGCTCGAGTAGCAATAATGAACTTCGATGTTTAGGGTGGTCGCAATCGCTGGAGCAAGTGCTATCTCGACATGTATATCAGTGTGCTTTCAACATGAAGACTGTGTGAAAAGAGCGCTTTTTCTTGAAGCGGCCATATTCGCTCACACCAGTGTTTAGTAGGAGTTCAGCGATAGCGGATCCAAAAGCACTGGCTGCCAGCCTTAGTTCGTATAACATTACAGTTTCTTGCTATTGAGTTTATTGGTTAGAATTCAACGCGTTGTAGTGTTGCTGCCAGAACTAATAGACTAATCGCGAAGCCTACCAGCCTGTGAACTAGCGGCACGGCGCAAGACGGAAGCGTGTGATCCGTCGGCACTGTTGTGGCGCCTAATCTGAGAATCCGTCGGCAGTGACGTCACGGCTGTTCACATTTAAAAAAAGAAAAGAAAAAAAAGCAAAGCTGTACGTCATTGGGGGCCACACCTTGTGCGCACAGTGAAACCATGCACTGCGCGCACGGCATTGAAAATGAAGACTGAACGACACAGATAGCGTGGAAAACTATTCGGTAAAGTGCCCCCATATGCAGCAAGGTCCCACTTATGTGTGACACTAACTAAAAGCGTGGCTCTGCCAACGCAAAAGAAGTTGTCTCTTTTTTTGGCTTGAAGGAAATTGGGCACATCTGCATGCACGCAATAGCGACCGTTCGCTCTCGCCTGGTTTTTCCCAGGACCACGAGAGTGCAGAGCACGCTGCTGCCGCTTCGTCGGTGGAGGAGCGGCTGTGAAATTTGTATGCTCGTACTAAAATGACAAAATCTAGGGCGAAATTCCGATATTGTCCCTGGGGAAAACTCATTTTATCAAGGTTGTCTCCTGCGGTTACTTTGTTACACAGAGGTCTCAAATACATGTGCTTCCATGGAGCAACTGCAGGCAATAGAAAAACTTCATTATATTGAAATATTCGTTATATCGAGGTTTCTTATAAGCCTGTTTATCTGTATGTGCCTTTTGTTGATGCTGCGGCTATTTATTTTTAAATGACTCGCTCATTATGCAAGTGGCATTGTGTGATACGTAGTTTCTTTAACTCTCATACTAGACGTGTTTGAATATTCAAATAAATATTACAGTATTCGAATTTAAGTAGTTGAAAATTTCGAAGCATTTGAAATGAATGAATGTACATGAATGTAAATGAAAGATGTACATAGTCCGCTTGTAGGCTCCTGTAAAGGTGGTTCCACTGCAGCAAAGGGATGCTGAGCCAGGATAACACCCAGCAGGGGAAAAGCGCGCCGAGCCCCACTTGAAGGTTGAGTCAACATATTACCCTCACATCAATTCATCATTTTTCAAGTTTAAAAGCTTTTTATACCAACTTATATGCTCCAAGTATAGCAAATTTTAAAACTTAAAATAATTTGCAGGTTACCACTTGCATTCTACTGAAAATCAAATTGCATTTGCATGGATGTTGTTACAATTAAAGAAAATATTATGTAGATTAATTAGGTCTTGAAAAATATGCCAGTTTTCTTTATATTATGTGATATAGTGTTTGAATTCGATTCACAATCACTTGACCAAAATCACTATTCACACAAGCCTATATACAACATATGTTAACACTATCAGGATGCCTACCAACTTGCTTTTTCAAAGTTCCCTGACTTTTCCATGTTTCTCATGATCATTTAAAGCAAATACATGACCGGTACATCTGCTTGGAAAACTCTGTGCACTGAAAACAAACCCTAGAGTGGTGAAAAAAATCAATCCTATAGAATTAGTAAATAAACGTACCGCACATGCTCAGACTGTTCCGAGCGTGTGCGGTAAGTATGTAAGAAATATTGGGGGTATATGGACTGAAGCCTTGGTGGACACAGGTGCATCGCTCTCAGTTATTAGTGTGGAATTGTGTTCCCGTTTGCACAAAGTGAAGACACTGTATGATGGCCCTCCCCTTCGCTGTGCTAATGCGGTTTTTGTTCAGCCTTCTGGTGTTTGCACAGCACGAGTTTTCATTGAGGGCGTCCTTCACCATATACAGTTCCTCGTTCTGTCATCGTGTACCAATGCGCTCATTTTAGGATGGGACTTTCTATCCTCAGCTTCAGCCATGATATCTTGCCATCAGAGGGTCATTCGCATGTCAGAGACTGCGCTTTCATCTGACAACTATGCCCATAGCCAGCGTTTCGTCACCGCTGATGACTGTTTTATTTCTCCAGGTAGTGAGCATATTCTGACCCTGAAATCAGATAAGATCGGTACTGGTGATGTGTTCCTAGCACCGTGTGGACGCTACATCTCTTGTGGACATGCCATCGCTCCTAGCCTGGCACGCTTTCGTGATGGCAGAGCATTAGTTACGGCAGTTGTATATCTATATCTGGCTAAAATGATACCTCCGAGCCAGAGAGTCTGCAAGTCGGTGGTTTGGTCAAAATGAAAACACTCGAGTTGAAATTAGCTGCAGCTGAAAATTTGATGGAGCCCACGATAGTCCCACAACGCAATCAAAGCTGCTAGGAAATCTAGAAGTGGCACGATCTCGTGGCAGCTGTGTAAAAGCAGAACACCTGAGCCCGGTTGGTTCCGCCACTAGAGTATAGACCAGAGTACGCCTATCTCGCACGCAGGCGCCTTTAGTGGTATACCCTCACTCCCGGAAACGCCATAACTTGTTTCGAACTGCCAAGGCATGCCTCGCTAGCATAGCATGCAGTGGCTCTGGGAGTTTAAAATACGAAAAAGCGCCTGTTCACGCTGCGCCCGCTTATGAAATGTAATCTGGGTACCACTGCGCTGTCATCTGATGCAAAAACAATCAGCGCAAAAGGAAGAGATTGCTGAGCACTGCCTGTAATGTTCACAGTGGATTGCGAGAAACAGATTTCCGTCCACAACGAAAAATGCTGAGCTCGGCCGCCCCATGGGATATAATCATAATCAACAAGAAAAACTACGAGCCCAGTGAAGTGTACGGGTAAGTATACTTATTGCGTTTATTTAAGCCCGACTCCAGGTGTTTCACTTTATAGGAGCGATTTGCGTGCAGTATGCCTGTCGTAGGCGGCATAAAACTATTGCTGTACTCTTTCGCAAGCCGCATGTCAATAATAGGATATACATATTAAGGTTCACGTGTTCATGTGACGCACCACGCATGTTTAGCATAACTGTAATGGCCTACTATCGCGATGAAAAGAAATGTGAATGGCGCAGAAAGCATGGCTTTAGACTAGGGCGAACCTCGACATGACTTGACTGTCACTAGGCAAATCTACATGTGCTTTCGGCCGGCGTCACCGTAGCATTTTAAATATTGTTCTGGCTGGCACTTTTGCACTTCGTGTGTGTTGTGAGTGCACCGCAGGACTGGCAATAGATACAAATGTAGTGCATGAGCGTAAGGTAGAGCCAGATTCTAGCGCTACGTTGACGCCGGCTTACAGCGCAAATGCTGCCTTGTCACAACCAAGGCACGCCGCAGTAAACGGTGTTCGCGTTTCTTTCAGTTTGATAATACGTACCTGATGAAGTTGCTTCCGCTGTCTGCAATGCATGTGCTGCATACATTCCGGACTGTCGAGAAAAGTCTCCTCGGCGTTTCACACAAAATGAGCATAAAATTCCAGCACAGGAACAGCGCGAAACATGATTACAGCCGCACTCGGTTTGTGAAGTTTCGCGTTTGATTTGCAGAGCGCCTGCTCACGTGGCAGATAAGGGTGTAGCTTCGCTGCACTTGCAACAGCTGGCGCTACGTTCTTCTCAATATGACAGCAAGCACAGAGCTCGCTGTGTTTCAGTGTTCACTATAATGATTACAACCCCGGGCCACTTAGGATATAGATTGGATTGGATTATATTGACCTATATTTACTGAGTTTACTATTTAGAATGTGGATTTAATTTGATCTGATGCGACCTGGATTGCTGTATTCACTACTGACTAGCACCCCCACCTAAATTGTATATGTCCAATATATAGCTTTAAGCAAAAAAAAAAAACTATATACTACTCATGTAGTCTGTGCACCTTGTATTGACAATGATAAACAACGTCGCAAGAACAAAGCCGCGCGCATAATTCTCTTCCTTTCTTCTTCTATGATGAGCACATGCATGTTGATGTTTCATTTTTCTGGGCTCCGACGCTTAGAGTTTGACTAAGTCCTCAGATGCATGCAATGAAAGCTAGGGGTTGTGTTTGAAGCAATGAGGTTCGAATGCTGGCAAGAAGGAATCTGTTTGGTAGCAACAGCTCCCTTGATTCCACACATTTATCACAAATACAGATGGGTTACCTTTGTTTGTGTACTTTTCTGTATATATTAGGCTAAAAACTAATCACAGATTTAATAATACCATCTCAAGAAACTCAAATGAGAAATTTAGATGAAGTTACCTAACTCTAACCTTAAACACCAGCAACCAGCAATAATAGGGTAGCTGAGGACGTTTGCTGTTGCATTGCCAATAACAATAATAATATTAAAATGCATGACATAGCCCTGCAAGCTTCTGCTTATGCAGTTCTATCCGAACCAGAAGGCCTTCAAGCCGAGCCGAAATCATGATCAAGACAAACGTGTGTAATGTTGCAGTTGGAAATTCAAATATGCTGTGCAATATGTATAAGCAGCAGACATCAAAATAGTGAATGTACAAACATGAAAGTTAAGGGACACTTTAGACAACCTGAAAGACAAGTTGCCGAGCGAAAATTTCCAGGGTCTTATTTATGCTTTAGGCTGCCACAATTGTGACCACTGATTTCAAGAAAAAAAGTTGAACAACATGAATAATACACCTGGAAACAACGCGTGACCTCATATGCCCTTGCTAAACACGTGGAATATACAAGCCACCAAACTAACTGGCTCGTGTTCTGGCCATAAAAAACCTTGCATCTGTCTGCACCTGGAATACCAACACATACAGACAACTGCACTTGCGCTGAACACGAGTGATGGGACGCTTTCGACAGTGTCACAAACTCGGGCGTACTTTACCGTGTGCCTTTCTTAGGGCTACTATTCCTTTGGTAGGTATATTCTCTGTGTCTACACTATGAAGCAGCAGTCGCGCACTGTTTTTTATTTTTTCATGCATCTTCTTGCTGTTCACTATAGTTGCAGCCGAAAAAGTGGCTTTATAAGCTTTGATCAATGGTAATGTTTATTTTTCTGACAAATGTACAGCGCTGTTGGTTTCTATGATCAGGCCAGATTTTTCGGAAATTCCCTGACTTTCCCAGGTTGGTAGACACCCTGCATTATTCCTTGGCCAGCATGCCATTAAAGAAGATTCTTCGTGTATTTATAGTGGAAATTTCCTGTGTGTATTGGTTGCCATTCTTTGGAATATTAACAGATTTTTCATTTGCAGGTTTTTCATGGCTCAAAACACACAGCTTTTTAAGGAGCTACTAGTGGCATACAGGAGCCCTGAAAAACTGTGGACTGAAGAACACATGCAAAGAGTGGGCCTTGACCCACATGGTGACAAACTGTTCTTAACAGAGTTGGTTGAGCGCTATGGTATAGACATTGTACTGATCACAGGCAGCGTATGCTGCCCAGCAGTGACTTTGTGATAACGTTTGCTACTATATTTGTCACATCTGCCCAACCTCATAATCCATGTAGAATTGCACTGTGGTCTGCATTATCTGGATGATCCAGGCTATAATGTGGTTCATGCATGCTTTGTGTACTACAACAGGTTTACCCAAAGTGATAAGTTATACCTTTCGTACAACTTAGTCTTGTCATTACGTCAGAATCATATTGAAAAAGAATACTCATATTCATGCAGATAAGTGTTCAAATGCACACGCAGCAGAGGCCTTGTGGACTTCATTTAGTGTAATATTGTTTTGTGCAATGTATGTATACTTTTTAAAGATTATGAATCTTCTTGGTCTGCATAGTACTTGAGTTCAAGGCTACAAGCCAATGAGTCACTGTACAAGTTCCTTTTGAAAAAGATGTAATTAAATCTAAGTCGTTTTGTTTTGGAACTACTTCACTAGAAATTTCTAAACATTAGTGCATTATGAATGCATGGTGGCTGTACTTTTGGAAATATTAAAGTGAGAAGTATGGTTATTTACCATGTGTGTTTTCTTGCATTTAAAATAGAAGGCACCTGTTGTGGTAGTCTAGTGCTTATATTGCTTAGAAAATTGACCTGTAGGTCACAAAATTTGATATCAGCCGTGGAGGTGAAACTGCTAGAGTGTACACCTCCACTATGGCTCTGTGATTATCATATCATGATGTATGGAAGTTAAACCCCAGCAATCACTATCTAAAATAGAATCCCCCAAACCCTTGTTGCTACAATATTTAGCACACAAGATCCAACTTGATGTGAACGAACTTGCTTGGCAAGAGAAAAAAACACCTCCACAGAAAATGCTTTCAACCATTTATTCTTCCACAGAGTTGTGGAATAGAAATAATGGGAAAGCAAGCCTTTTTTTGTACATAGAGCTCATTACTACAATGTTCATTACTACAATGCAATCTTTAAAATTCAACAAAAAAGGTGAGTTCATTACTAGACTGCAATCTTTAAAATAAGTGTAAAAGTAAGTTTAATCTTGAAAATATTTTCGTGTTGAGTTCATTACTAGAACGAAAATTTATATACAATGCATCCATCAGGATCATCCTAACCAGAAGGTTCTGTGGGTGACTTCTGCTACATGCAAGATCTTGCCACAGATTCAAACAGCCTGTAAGAGGAGAAAAAAAGAATTTCTAATAAGACATTGCCCTGGCAAGCCACACTTGCTGAGGATGCAGGAATATCTCTGTGATGGTATACGAACACGGGGATTCCGCATGACATGGAAAGCTTGTTCTTACTGACGGCTGCAATTACCAGGCAGACGAACAAATGTTCCAACTTTTAATTTCAACATGGATAATGGAAGCAGCAGTTTACACCACTTCGTCATAAACAGTGCGGGCATTGAATATTTTAACATATATCTGAAATCAATATTCTACACTGACCACAGCAGATTTTTTACTTACCATGAGAACTTTTGTCTTATTACCCAATGAAATGTTAAAAATACGAAAAATATTTACTAACAGACAATCAAGCCAAGGAAAATATGAGGGCCGTTATTTGTAGTAATTGCGACAAATATGAGAAGAAGTTAAAGCATACAAAAAGATAACTTGTCGCCAGCAGAGACAGAAAACTTACCACCTTCAAATACAGTCAGATCTTGCTAGTACAACAAAATTGACGGGACGTGTGAAAAAAATTCACTGTTGAGAAATTTCGTCGGAGGGAAATTTCATCTATAGCCTACAAAATTTAGTATGGTCTAATGATTATGACTTGTTCTTTCGTCACAGAAAGCGCATGCATTTAACTCTTGCTTACTCAGCCATGCCTGGCCGAACACTGAGTGAACATATTTGATCGCCTATAATGCAATCAAAATATACAGAAAATTTGGAGCTGAAGCCGAGGTGTGGGTTATAACAAAATTTTGGTGCCCAAGTTGGCAATTGAAAGTGATGAAGCTCTGCACTACCGTGGCGTGCAGGACAAGAAAGTCGGTACCCTTTATTACCTTTAATTTACGGCTGTGTTAGCTGCGCACCTTCAGATCGTATTCGCTATCGATGAACAAGACGATAGCGACTGCGGTTTCCTGCACAGCAGTTCTGTTTTCAATCTGTGCCTGCTGCACTGGCTGTGAGCGTGACTTAGAACTGCGCTATTGCTATCTTCGCTTGCATCTTCGGCAAAAAACATTGGAATGAGTCGATGCACATACTTTCGTGGTCGCCCATGATCGCGTTTGACAAGACCGCATTTGAGTTCACAGCGGTTGCCGCAGAATTCAGTTATGCTGAGACTAGGTGCCCGATGCTCACATTTGTGCCCTCACGGCGCATGGTTGTCATTCATAATCGCACGGCTAATGACAATGAGCGGTAGTTTTAATTTTGAGCGCGACGTATATGGCGGAGGTTCTTGAAGATCGCAGCCCGCACATGCATCAAGCCCACCGGCAGCATCATGGTAGATGAACGAGCTGTCGCCGAGCATCTCAATGGCGATAAATTTAGCAGGATGTAAGTGTGGTGGCAGAACTCCTATGAAGTAAGGTTGTTGCGATACGGCCGTGTGCTCTGGATGCCACGAGCTGACTATATAAATGGCTCAGTTGGTAGCGAAATTTCGCGGCGATCCTAGGCAAGTTCTTTTTCTTATTTCTTATGGGGTAGTACCTGCAAAAACTTCATTATGGATGCAGACGGGTCTTAAAAAAAATGTCTATTTCTTCAGTGATCTCGATCAAACTGCACATGATTATGCAGTGTTTTCTGCTGATTTTAAATATTTATTAGTTTTCCTGTTACTCATCTTGTTCCTGAGATACCGTTTAAGTTCACCCCCTATTGTTTAAGGCCGCCATAGGGAAAAAAAGTGCTTAATTAAAAGTGATATTTAAGATATGCCAACATAGACTAATGACAGGAGATTGAAAGTATGCAAGAGTTTATTGTTTTTATGCCTTTCTTGGTTACTTTACAGCAAAATGAACTATCCATTTTCAAAAGCAGTTGGAATTATGTTACAATTTTAGATGAATAATTTATTAAAAAGGCTTGTGCTCTAAATTCTGCTCCCATACTTGCATTCTACACACATACAGGTTTCCATTGCAAAAAGAAGTATTGTTGTACCTGGCCTAGCTGCAGAGATATTGAGGCCTCAGAATAGAACAGTCGTAAATTTACTTTTTGAGAAAATGAAAAAAAAACTGAGAACACACAGCTTTTTCAAAAAGCAAAAATCATGGTGCACATGTTTTGTAATCCTCATATAGTGATCATAAATTCGTAGAGAGCTTCTAACATAGGTGCCGGCAAATTATAAAGAAGCCTCAAAGTCGGTTCCCCAGTTTTTTCCAGGTTTTGCATGTTAACAGCACCAAGAATACGGACAGTTAGAATGACATTACAAAAAAATTACCACTTCTTGGTGTGTGAAAATTTGCAGAGAGATAAAAAAATATTTGCAGAAACCAAATATGTCAATTTTAAAAAATGAATTTTTTTGTCACTTTTTGCTCCCGAAGATCATTCTGTCTCCTTAAAGCAAAAATATCTAGGAAAAGTATTTGTTGTGAAAGACATATTTGCATTGTTTTCTATGAGTGGCTGACAGAAAATCGAAAATTGTTCGTTTTGGCGGAAATATCATTGTATAGCGGGATTCGACTGTAACCAGTCCAATGATACGATTGAGCAACAGCAGTTTTTATCCTTTTGTACACATTATGATGCATATATCTGTGCATACTAAACTTGGGAGTGTTAATCAGTGCTGTTAGTAGCCTTGACGGAGAGTGTGAAACACTCTTCTCTGCCTGGTAATGTCACATAGCATGTGATCTTTTCAAAAGCCGGTAGCTGACCAATAATCTCTCTGAAACTACCGCAGGCTTGGTAATCTGCCTGAACGAGGCCCTTACCAAGAATGAATAAAAGAAGACTACTTGGCCTAAAAACAATCCCTTACAATTACCGTTCTTGCTAGTTTTATGCCAATCTGAATCTCATCTTCACAATAATGAGACTTCCGTAGTGCTACTCTATGTGGGTGTGGAAAGGGGGGGACTAACACCAGAAAAAGTTAAAAGTTAGAAATCTCATGCAAACAGCTAGTACGGGAACTTGAGACCTTTTTTTTATTTTCGTGCCTTTTTTTGCACCGCCACTCAACTAGATGTACACTTAAGTTGTGTACTCTTGATTTATGCATGAAAATTACACCAACAAAAATGTTTGCTTACTTTTCAATTTCTGGAGCACAACGCACAAATTCATGGCTCCAGAACTTGAATGTTGGGTTCTTGATCAGGCCGATAAAGGTTACTAGGAGACCCCATGGGTGTGGACGATTCACAATGAGGCGCTCGAGCAATACCCTTGAAGGAAATCGGCAGGTAAACAATAATGTGAAATTGTGCATTTGTAGTCAAAGCAAAACACGAAATGCTTAGAAATGTCAATAATTCAGAACTTCAGTGATTTTTTCCCCGCTGCAGTGGTCTAGTGGCTAAGGTTAAAAATTGGGCTGCTGACCCGCAGGTCGTGGGATCGAATCCAGGCTGTGGCGGCTGCATATTTAATGGAAGCTAGAGTGCTGTAGGCCCGTGTGCTTAGATTTGAGTGCACTTTAAAGAACCTCAGGTGGTCGAAATTTCCGGAGCTCTCCACTACGGCTTCTCTCAAACATATAGTGGTTTTGGGACCATTTGCCTTATCTTCAGAACAGAGCCTGCCTTCCACTGTGGTTAGATAGAACACATTCAATATCCCTTTCTATAGCCAACAGTAGATTTCAGGCAGCTGAGAGAACAAGCTAGCAGATGACGGATAAGACCGGGAGGACACCGGCATTGCAGACAAGTGGATCATCAAGCAGAGGCACGCCGACGAAATGACAGCGAGACGGGACCACTTTGTCGTAGTTCTCAGATTGGCATAAGAACAGTAGAGTGTTCTACTATTGCAAAAGCTCATGAGAGTAGCCACCGAGACACCACCTTTGCTATAAACAGATTAGGGCTCCGGAGATTTCGACCACCTGGGGTTCTTTAACCTGCACCCAAATCTGAGCACACGAGACTACAGCATTTTTGTGTCTATTGAAAATGCAACCACCGCAGCTGGGATTCGATCCCGTGACCTGTGGACCAGCAGCCGTGTACTTAACCACTAGACCACCGCAGCAGGGCAGCTAACTTTATTCGGGACAACCCTTATAAGAATACAGTGTATACTGTAAATAACAAAATTGACTTGATTCGTCAATAAATGTCTAATCATGGAGTTTAACTTTTTCCCTGAATGATCCTTCACTGCGCTCTTTTACAAATTTGCAACATTGAGAAAAGGTAAATGAAAGTAAACCAAGGCCAAACAAGAGTTTAGGAAATTTGTAATTTTCTGTGCACATTTCACTTGTGCAACATAACTTGGATTATTGTGCAATCACACACAGTGTTATTGACATCACAGAGGCAAGATCTACACTAAAATAAGCATAGGATACCCCTTGTGAGTAATTTGATTTAGATCTTGATAATTCAATGTTAATTATTGGTCATATTGTACTTTTAGACACATTTAAAAGTTTACTAAGCAGTAGCTTGAAGTTCATATAAGAAACTACATTTGTAGTGAGGAATTCGCAAGGCAATGGCCAGTGGGACCATCTTGAGTGCGAAGCGCAAGCGCGTGCACGATCTGTAGACGCTGGACTGCTAGAGTATTTTTGTCCATACCGGCTGTCTGCCTACTACCTGGCGTCGTTATTAAACTCCCTTGCAAAGTGGTGGAGGTGCTGGGTACATAAATCTGGAACTTCGAAGCCGCAAGCTGCCCACTGCATCAGCAATGCCTGATCAGACCACTGAACAAGGCGCCACCCAGCAAAGCATGGCCCAATCTCAACTGGTCATTGCCTTGCGAATTCCCCACTACACATTACAGAAAACCCTTAATCATTAGTCAAGCTAACACAACCAATGTGGGAATTTTCGACATCATATTTTAAGTACTTCCAGCTCGCTACAAGCTAACTACTGCATAGAAACATGCACAAAAAATGCCAGAATGTTTTGAAATTACAAAATAGAAAAAGCCAATGTTAAAAAAAAAATCATCCACACTCCCACTTCACCCCGCCCCCCTTTCTTTTAACCATCACAAAACAAGAAGCAAGACTATCCCTATGGCAGAGATTTTTAACTAAATCAAGTAAACTAGACACAATCCTTGGGGTAATCAGTCTACTGAAACAAAATCTACAGAAGTTAACTGAAAGTTATTTTCAAGAATATTTTTACAGGTGCTTTCTAGGCCCAAGGGCATTTTCGTGCTCAAGAACTGTTAGCAAATGCAACAAATTGTGGCGTGCAGATAATCTTGTAAATATCTTGCACATTTAAAAGCGGTACAACTATCCATCAATGAGTTTTAATAAAGCATAAGTGTCCTTTTTGCACTCTACTATTAGGTGCTTTCCACTCACGCTAAGGAAATTGAAGGTTTTCATTTACACATTCCCAAACGATACTGTGAATTAGAGAAGGGAAGATGGATTGAGGAAACTAAGAAGTACCACACACAATGCTACAATTCAAAACAAATTCAATACTTATAGCTTGCCTTGTTATTTGTTCTTGGATGGCTTCAGTGTTCGCTTCAGCAAACAGGTACAGCAGCGTACAGCTGAAGTAATGGGTATGACTGTTTGGGTACCGTAGCTGGTTTGCAATTGCATTCAAGAAAAGGTACCGTCCTGCATTGACAAGTAAAATGGGTTAATTTCTGCATATAGTTATGACAGCAAAGAACAGCTACTGAAATTTTTAGGTCAAGATACCAAAAACAGAAAATGGGAAAATGCTTGAATATTCAAGTTTCATATAGAATACAGTAGACTGGCAATAATTCAAACTCTGATGATTCATACAAAATTAAATTTTTTGGTTGGACCTCTATTCTTTCATTGTATTTAAAAGCCTCTTAATTCAAACTCCATCATTCGGTTAATTCATACTTTTTGCAGTTTCATACCAGGAAATATCTGCTGCTTTCCCACTACTGTTCAAGATTTGTAAGCTTATATAATCCTAATGCCTAAAAATAAAAAATGAGCACCTTGAGCCTTCAAGAAAAAAGGCTTGGCTAGTAAACAAAAGTTTGAAACAAAGCACACGCATGGTAAACCGTGATGCTTCTGAACTGGTATAGAGAGCTTTGTGTTGAAGGCACATACCCATAACATAGAAGTAGTTGGCAATTCCGAATTTCTTTAAAAGGTCTGATTTGCAGCAAATGGCTGATAAAATTGCAGACCTTACACCTCTGCTTTCTCTTCATTGCATGCAGTTAAGGATTAAAAACACATGAAAAATTTTTAAATGTAATAAAATCAATGTCTAATCATAATGTGTGGTGTCACCTCCCCCAGAGTTGTCTGAGAATTTCTGATAATTCAAACTTCTTGATAATTCAAGAAAAATTCAGAGGTCCCTCCAAGTTTGAATTAATGAGAGTTAACTGTAATACTTAACAGAATAATTCGATTAGACTTTTGAATAACTAGTATATGAAGTTTCAAACAATTTGACAAAACAAACAGCAAAGCACGACAAAGGCCAATGGTGCAACTTGTTTAGGTTAGGGTGGCTAAAACTAAAAACGTCATTACAGTCGGCTTTCACACTTTGTGGGAATCAATTTCATGCAGAGCAGTCAACAAGCTCTTAATGCCACCCTGTTTGGTTTTAAAAGAAACCCTACAAGGGTGGATCAACGTCTTTGTGTAAATTGAGCACATAGTAGTGTGCACATTCAACGTCATTGGGAAGCTCTGCAATGCAGGCTGCACCAATGTATGCTTATGGTGTCGAAGAAGCAGTGTTGTGTTGTAATGGAGATTTTTTCCTTAACATTTTAAAGACTGCTTGATGAGATATGCATCAATCTAGTGCAGGCTGACACATCTACATCGATAAGTATGTGCTGCGTTGATACTATGCTGCCCACTTCTGCAATAGAAAAATAATGGCAAGGGGTAGCTGCGTCGATGTAATTTTTATATCTGGCGTGCTATGTATTCCCAATGTGCTGTATATATTGTTGCTGTTGATCAAGCAAACCACCGTGGCAGCATAGCATGTATGGTGTCAGAATCTCGGCCACAGCGGCTGCATTTAAATGGGGGCAAAATACAAAAAACACCTGTGTACTTAAATTTATGGGCACATGAGAAAAGCCCAAGTGGTCAAAATTAATTCTGGTACCCACACTACGGTGTGCTTTACAATTGTACCTTGTTTGGCACATAAAACCTTAGCAATTATTGATGTTGATCAAACACCTTTACTCTGAGAATACGCAGACAAGTGAAAAAATGAAAATGCTAAAGCACTAAGTTAAACAGAGGCATCTCATCAATGAGTATTCCTCACGCGAGTATTCCAAGACAAAATTTTTTTAATGCTAGTTGACCGGTGTAGGTGACCGTGCCACCACAAACACCTTGTAGACATAGTAGTTTTCCTTCTATAAAACTGCTTACAAATAATGTAGACTACCTGCCTATCGCATTCTTTGAAATTACGCTCGCGCTTGGCTCCTCTCGCTAAAGGCATGCCCCACTGCGGCACATAATCTTCTTCCTCTCTACAATACCCCAGCGACGAAGACGAGCCATCCTGGCAAGTCAAGGTGACGAGAGTAGGAGTGGGTCGTGATAGGGCTTGAGACGACTCACGTGGACAGTCTCACGACCAAGGCGTCGCCTGTCTGTAGATGGGGTGACCCGCTCGATCACGTATGTTACATGAGATCGACGTTCGACCACGCGATAAGGACCGTGAAACTTGGGGCCAAACTTAAAGGAAAAACCTGGGGAGTGGAAGGGCACTTCGGATAAAAAGACACGTCCTTGATCACTCAGCAGTTCACGTGGTGCCCCGTGACGTAGTACGAAGCGTCACAAGACGAAATTGGCTACGTCACGTGCACCAACCGTAGGTAGTGGAGCTGCTTCAGCATACCTCGTCAGATGGTCGACCGCGACAATGATCCATCGATTTCCAGTGGCAGTGTACGGAAGGGGACCATATAAAGCGATTCCAACGCGGTCGAAAGGGCACGCCGGACATGGTAGAGGCTGTAATAATCCGGGTGAATGGGCCGCTGTCTTTCGTCGTTGGCATAATGAACAGGACCGAATGTATTTTTGTACAAAGGTGTACATACCACGGCAGTAGTAACGCTGGCGGATCCGGTGATATGTTTTTAACACACCAACGTGAGCATGTTGTGGGTCGGCGTGAAAATACGCACAGACATCAGATCGCATGTGGTGTGGTATAACCAAGAGCCATTTACGACCATCCGCATGGTAGTTTCTGCGGTATAGATGCGCGTCCCGTATCGCGAAATGTGTGGCTTGGCGGCGAAGAGCGCGTGGGTATGCAGACGTTGAAGAGTCGGAAAGAATGTTAAGGAGAGATGTTATCCATGGGTCTTTCCGCTGTTCAGACGACATGCTTGTGACGGAAATGGGAGCGATGGAGAAGTTGGTGTCCGAATGCAGGTCTGCGGTGGATCTCACTGGTGATCGTGAGAGGGCGTCCGCATCAGAGTGTTTTCGTCCTGAGCGGTAGACGACACGAATGTCAAATTCTTGTAGGCGAAGAGCCCAACGTCCAAGGCGACCTGAAGGATCTTTTAGCGACGGCAACCAACAAAGTGCGTGGTGATCGGTCACAACGTCGAAACTCTGTCCGTACAAGTAAGGACGAAACTTGCTTAACGCCCAAACGATTGCGAGGCATTCTTTTTCGGTTACTGAGTTGTTCATCTCCACTTTTGTGAGTGCGCGGCTTGCATATGCGACGACGTACTCTGGAATACCGGGCTTTCGTTGCGCAAGTACTGCTCCCAGACCAACGACACTGGCGTCTGTGTGCTCTTCAGTGGGGGCACTTGGGTCGTAATGGCGTAGAATGGGTGGCGACATAAGCAGATGGCGCAGTGTAAGGAAGGCTTCGTCACATGCTGAGGTCCAGTTAGAAAGATTAGCTGGACCATTCAGTAGTTGCGTAAGTGGGGCTATTATTGATGCAAAGTTGTGGACGAAACGGCGAAGATACGAGCACAAGACGATGAAGCTCCTAAGTTCTTTGAGTGAAGTCGGCTTCGGAAAGTTGGCTACGGCTCGAAGTTTGTCCGGGTCGGGGCAAATTCCATCCTTTGACACAACGTGACCAAGTATAGTAAGTTGGCGAGCCCCGAAGCGGCACTTCTTTAGGTTAAGCTGGAGGAGGCACTGAAAAATTGTGCGCAGACGGTCGACGTGGGTAGGGAAATCAGGAGAAAATACGGTAGCATCATCAAGGTAACATAAGCATATCTGCCATTTAAGGCCGTGTAAAATGCTGTCCATCATTCGTTCAAGCGTTGCAGGTGCATTGCACAGACCGAATGGCATAACCGTGAATTCGTATAAGCCATCCGGCGTAACGAACACTGTTTTGGAACGGTCACACTTTGCTATTGGAACCTGCCAGTAACCTGAACGTAAGTCCAGCGAAGAAAAGAATTCGGCACCTTGTAGGCAATCAATAGCGTCGTCGATGCGGGGAAGAGGGTACACATCTTTCCGTGTAATTTTGTTCAGTCGCCGGTAGTCGACACAAAAATCTAATCGAACCATCTTTTTTCTTCACTAGCACAACAGGTGAAGACCAGGGGCTAGAAGATGGCTTGATGACACCGCGCTGAAGCATATCGTCCACGTGCTCTGCAATTACACTTCGTTCCTTGGGTGATACGCGGTAGGGGCGTTGCCGCAAAGGAGGGTGCGTTCCAGTGTAGATTGTGTGAGCGACGGTGTTAGTTTCACTCAGTGCCTTTTGAGGAAGGTCAAATGAATCACGGAATTCATGCAGAAGGGTTATTAGCTGGTTCTGTTGATCCAGAGGAAGCTTGCTGCCGATGGAACGATCGAAGATATCCGAGGAGTAGTCATCCCGCGTAAAAGGAGGAGTAACAGCGTTCAGTTGAAGTTGCTGGCCAGGGTCGTGGGACTCAATAGACACAATAACGTTGTCATCAACAGGAAGAACATAGCCCAGTGTTTCGTGAGCTCCTAAAGTGAGAGGGCATGAGCTAGGATTGCAAACTACAATTCCGAAAGTATCTTGGTGAGGTGGCAGAACGGCGTATGGCAGAGACTTACCGTGGCGGCGGCTGAAAACGTCAGATGGGGAGAACACAACGGTAGAGCCGGACGATTCAATGCGATTGACGGGGACAATGATGACACTAAGAGGGGGAACATCTATGTCGGAAGCAACAAGAAGCTTGCCAGAGTGAGTAAGCTCATTGTCGGTAGATGGCGCATCAGAAAACACAGAAAATTCCACCTGCGCACGAGTGCAGTCAATTACGGCATGGTGGCGTGACAAAAAATCCCATCCAAGTATCACGTCGTGGGAACAAGTGGCCAACACGAGAAACTCGATGTGGTACAGGACGTCCTGAATGATTACTCTCTCCGTACATGCTCCGACTGGTCGAATAGGTTGCGTGCTCGCGGAATTCAGCAATACGTCGGAAGGCGTCGTCGTTACTTTTCGTATCGAACGGGAGAGTTTTCGAATCATCACAGATACGGCGGCACCCGTGTCAACAAGCGCAAGAGTTCGTAGACCTTCAACAAACAGTTCCAGAACGTTTGTGGGGGACGGGCGAGGACTTCTACAATGCGACAATTTC